AGGTTCGGTGCCTGCACTGCTGGTGTCCGCCCTTTTCCGCTGGCCATCCAGCATTTCTATTCATTTGCTTCCCACGCGATTTCTTTACTTTTTGTCTCCCAGGTTCGGTGCCTGCCACCCGTTTCCGCTGGCCATGCAGCATTTCTATTCATTTGTCTCCCAGGTGATTCTTTTATTTCCCAAAACAGGTCTCGCTTCTGTCTCCTTTTGTTCCTTCTTCCTTGGTGTTGTCTGCCTTCTTGTTGGTCACTGTGTCCGCCTTGTCTCTCTTCTGTTTCCCTTTGTCTTCCTTCTTGTCTCTCTACTTGTTGGCCATTGCGTCCGCCTTGTCTCCCTTCTGTCTCCCTTGGTCTCCAGGCTTGTCTCCCTTCTTGTTGGTCAGTGTCTCCCTTCTTGCGTCTCCCTTCTTGTTGGTCACTATGTCCGCCTTGTCTCCCTTCTGTCTCCTTTCGTCTCCCTTCTTGTTTCCTTGTGACATGTGTCTCCCAGCTCTGGACTGCGGTGTCCGCTGCCTCGCGTCTACTTTTGTCTCCCTTATTGTCTCCTGTCTCTGTGGCCGCTCTGCCTTGCAATCCTTTGTCTCCCAGCTCTGGACGTCGTAAGCTCTAGTTGCAGAGTGTTAAAACACAAGCTGTTTGGGGTCTACGGTGGTGTAATCTATATACTTGAGAAGGGGGAAGGCACGAAAGGTAGGAAAGCAAGAAGGAACAAATCAGGAAGAACAAGTCAAACAGAAAACAAACAGCAAAGTGAAGGACCTAGGACGGGCTTTGTTTGAGTTCTCGGGTGTCTCTTCGAACTAGATTCATAAACAGTCGCCCTTATCCAGCCTTCGTGGAAATGTTCAAAGTGCTGTGGTGGAACCCCGGGCTTGTGGATTCCATGGGAGGGCAACCTCCATGGAGAAGTCCCCAAGACAAAATGACAACGTATCAGGCGATGCCCCCCCATGCGCAGCGTCGCGAACGACGACCCTCACGTCCCGCGACGGACACATGAACTTAACTTAAAAAGGACGCGCAATAACAATTCTGTTGTCGGGCGGGCCTTCTTGTTGAAAGGGCGCTCCGGTATTTTAACGATCGACATCAACACTAATTCGAGCGTCGCTAATCTGACAATCCGCCTCTCCCACACCTCAGCGGTCCACTGGTCCACTAGTATGATCCGAGGCACGGCTGATCTGATGTTAGACATGATTCGTTCAATGGTTATTAAACCGATGATCTGCTGATTCAATGACTCTGGCTCCAGATCCGCCGCAGATCCGATTGGTCCGATGAGTTAATCCAACGGTCGGACGGTCGGATGATCTGATCGAACTGCGCGCTACTTGCAAACCGGATATATGCGCTGAGGCTGCGAAAGATCCGATGAAGATGACCATTGAAGCGGAGAAGATCGTCCGAGTTCGCGGTTGTTTGAGCCGCCAGTTCACCACAGATCTGCAGACACGAGCTTTGCATATGCTTGAGGCTCTGCAGCTTGGAATGATCTGTTGATCTGAGCGTCGCAGATCCGCTAAGACCACTGCAGATCCGCTTGATCGGAAGCCCCCCATTCTGACATGATCGGTCAATCGACTGTGTTGAACTTGATTGATCGATCAATTATCAGGCCCGGGCAAGCCAACACTTGCTTTGCAAGACAAACTCAGGGTCACAAAGGGCTACCTTAAGGATGGTTTCCACTTATACTACTTTAAGTAACTTGGCTATTCTTATCCTACTTAAGACCTACTTATGTTAACTTATGTTGCAATTAAAAAGTTATTTAAAACATAACTAGACGTAACTAAGTTATAAGTAGAAATAAGTAGAAACAAGTAGAAATAAGTAGAATTAAGTAGAACTGGTTTCAAAACATGTTTTTTCCACATTGTTGATTGCTCTATTAAAAAGAGCTTGAGAGGAGTTTGTAAATCCTATTCGGTGTTCACACTTGTCCTGCATTTGTTTCGATCAGGAACAAAAGTTTGCATTGAAACTTTGAAACCTCACCAGCGGACACACCGCTCAACGTAGATAAAGCGGACGCACCGCTCAACGTAGACTAAGCGGACACACCGCTGAACATAGACCCAAAACAAAGACCATGTAAACTGCAACACCACAAAACACAAAACAATTTAGTTTCCTGAAACCACATGAAACACGTAAAGCTTGCGGGTCTCTTTCTCAGAACGAAAGCCCACGGACAAAAGAGCACAGACATCGCTTTGTGTCGAGGTGCGGACATCAGGCAATAGTCAGAAGGTGAGGCAGCGCATGGTAGTTCCATGGTCAGTTCTCGACCTGTCGGAGCAAGTCTCTGCAAATCTCCTCTGCTGTCTGAATCTCGGGGAACTCGTCAGAGAACAACTTCTGTAGGGTGGTCATGGTAATCTGCACTTCCAATCTCGTGCTGCTTTTGCGTCCAGGCGCAAGCAAAGTCACAAAGTCATCCAAAGGTCGTGGAGGAACACGGCCACATCCCATAGAGTAAATATTGATGCCCTCGCCATCCAAACCTTGAAGCTTCACCTGAAATGTTGTGATTTGACACCACAAATCACTCAAGGGTTTGGTCTCATCGGAGAAGCCCAAGACATTCACCACGTTCCTCATGGTCTCACGAACACACTCCAGGCTCTCGAGCATGGGCTCCTCAGCGGACCAGTGCTTGGCCACAGCAACCATGTAGTCACAAAACTGAACAGGTTGGCTTGGCATGACGCAAGGTGTGATGCGCGGGCTCTAACTCTAAATGTTGATCTTGAGAATGTAGCAAACCAAGTGCATTTTTGTCAGCAGCAAATGCAACCGGTGCTCAACAATATCAACCTTTTCATACAAACATCAAGTTGCCAGCGGACACACCGCTCAAACCATTCTAATTAGGAAACAGGTGTTCAACCTTACCAGCGGGCGCACCGCTCAAACAGTCTTTTTTTACTGATGCTTTTTGGCAGTGTGCAAACGCAGGACATTGTCAATGCAAGCACGTAACGGTCTTGCCGCCTGCTGAGAACTGATACCAAGAAGGGATCAAGGGTGGCCACTCAGGCTCCACACGCCAGATGACACGATCGTCTGTGAGGTTCCACATGGTGCCCCATGAATGTCGCGACACCTCAGACAGACATGTTGCTGTCAGAAAACACTAACAAATCAAACACATCTTGGGGAACAAATCTTGGGGAATGGTCCTGTCTGTGCCTTTTCTGAACCAAGGTCTAGATACCAAATCCATCTTTTGGCAGCGCACTGCCAAAGTGCTCGGGCAAGAGAACCATGTTTCAATGAGACCACCGTAAGCATCCCAGCAAATGATGTCGCCTGCCATGATTTTGCACGAAAGCAGGTAGCAAGATGCGCTTTCTTGCGCGTCATTGGTGGCAAAGATGATTTGGTCATCCACTGTTGCTTTCCGTGTTGGTGGTAGCAGCTCCCAAAATGGCAAGCCATTCTTTTTCAAGTTGCCAACCCAAGCTTTCACCAGCCGATGTAGCACTGATGCACTGAACAACGCATGTTCGTAAATATTGTGCTTCTGACGGTCAGCAACTCCCGATTTGTAAATCATGTGCTTTGACTCCATAGGTTCACAAGTAACCACGCAGCCAGTGAACAAGAAGTTCGAAGCCAAGTGAAATCGATGGTGGTGTTTCGGCTTGTAATACTGTCCACCGTATGCCCGGCCAAACTCTTGTTGATGTCTTTCTTGCAGTGTTTGTAGCCTGTTTGTTTCATCAGGCTCAAGACGAACAGTTCGGTTCTGCAAGGACCGAACGTGAGACAGGATGTCGCACAAAACGCCGAAGGAATCAAAGAACTTCTTTGGCACTTGGCCAGATGGATCAATAGTGGTCTCTCCATAGTACCGAAGCAAAAAGGCAAGCGCTAATGTGTGATGAGCTTGGCCTTTGTATAGGCCTTCCCCAAACATTCTGCTGTCGAACAAGCGTCCGAGGTAATTGGCAGTTTTTCCGGAACTACGGGTTCCTTTCCAGCCAGCTCCCAACGCACATGTTCTCAACATATCCAAGGTGATGGAAGTGTGATCCACAATCGTCTGAACAAAGAGAGCTATCTCCCAAGATGCGATGCCGTTTGCAAGATATGTGTGCATGTAGTCAGTCAATATTCTTGATGGGCCCAACTTCCACCTTTGTTCTGTGAACAACAGGCTGTTGGGAACAAACGAAAAGCCAGCACATTTTTCTGTCATCTCCAACTCTGCTTTGGTCGCGCAATGTTGCATGCTGTCCGCCATTTGGAAGATCTCTTCGTCTGTGACCGGTTGAAAGCCTTGCCACGCAGACACTTCGACAAAGAAATCGTCGAATCGAGAAATATTTGTGTCACGCTTGACAACATTGGAACAATGTAAGCAGGG